CATATTTTAATCGAAGTAATAAAAGTTTAATAATCCTACCTGATTATTCGAATTTAAATTTTGCGCTTTATTTTTTTTTGAATAACCTCGTTCTCCTCAAAAGGTGGTGACACAGAATTATCGAATTAGCAATATTTTTTCTCTAATCATCTAAGTTATGTCCATGTCTACAAAATCCAATTCTAATGATAGATCACTAGGTTCAGCATCATTGAATAATTAAATGAAGGTTTTATTATTTATTAATTTCAAAATAGAATTTTGCTCATATGAATTTTACCAATAATATTTTTTTCATTTTTCTCAAGTGACGAAATGAAAATTGGTGTAATCTTGTAGTTATCAAATTAATGAATCAAATGGGCAAGGCCACAATAATTCCACCACATTTTTACACCAATAACGGTTTACTAATAAAGAAGGATATAATGATTCATCATTTTTTTTGATATTCATACATTCAGTAGGAAGAATAGGAGGCATAGTATTGATGAAGACATTAATCGAAACGGTATAAAAGCGATATTTTTTTTCTGATTTGAAATCTTTGTGAAAAAATTGAATCATTAATAAATGAAAACAAACTGTATATATTCAAGAAGCTTGACATCGAAATTTATGTTGCATTGCATTTTTGTAAGGATTGGAACCGTCTAAAAATTTTCTTAATCGCTTAACCGATTAGTTTAGCTGGCATTCTGACCCACGATCAACATAGTGGCCCGGCACTACGATCTATCGTTTTTTTTCAATACTCAGTTCTCAGATCACATCTATATAAAATATGATATGAAATTCCTTATTAAAATTAAAATTGACTTCTATTTTAACTCTGAGTATTGTATTTCAATTAACAACCGTGAATGTTAATTGAACAAATAAAACTAAATTTTATACAAAAATTATTTGCTACTTTAGCATTTATTACTTATTAAAATTATAAGAATCAATTTTCATTATAAATTAAAAATCTAATAAATTAAATAGTTATCATTGTGTTTAAATTAAAAATATTCAGTAAATTTAATTTATATTTCTAATAAAATTTTTGTTCTTTGATATTAGTCGCATGTTTTTTTATTTAACTCAAAGTTTCATTTTAACTTATATTTTCTGCAAAAAAAGTGTAGGATTTTGAACCAATTTATTTGATTCGAATGTGTTAATATAGTATTCAATTTGTCAATTGAATTTAAATTTAGATAATTGGTTTTAAATAAGATAATAAACTTGTATATTGTAGTATCTGACAAATAACTAATTAATATTGTTAGAAGCAGACCTCCCCTTTTCATGTCAGCATCAGGCGTTTTTTATTTAAACCATGAAGCGTCGAAGAATTTAAAATTTAAATATAAACATACTATCATGTCTGAAGATTACACTAAATTAGTAATATATTTATTGAAAAGATATAATCTTAATGTTAAAATCGTGAATAATTCTTCCCCTGAATATTCTACTATTAAAGTCTCTTTCCAGAAGTTCACCCGTTATCTTATTATCTAGTGCAAAAAAATTTCTAGTGCTGCCGATTATGAAAAACTATATGACAGCTCATTAAAAACAGGTGAGAATTGGATAATTGTCACCAAATCATTAGTAAATGAAAATCAAATCGACATGATGGAAAAATACAGTGAACAGACTAAGAAATATTTAAAAAGATTTCATGTTAATGAATTTGAAATCATTGATCATCTAAAAGAACTGTATTTCGATGAATATGCAATGTCTATAAAAATAAAATTTCCTGAAAAGGAATTGTTTTTATGTTTTATGAATCATAAAACAAAAATTTTTAAACGCATAGTTATTGAGCAAAATTATCAAGAATGGCTTACTTACGCGTCAACTCTGATTGGATGATGACAAAAGGATGCAATAGAGGAATCATATATATTATTTTCATATCAAATTACACATCTAATGATTTTGAAAATAAGGGTCACCATTAAATAATTTAATAAATTATTGTGAAAAGATTGTTAATTGCACTGGGATATAAAAGCTAGTAAATAAATTAAACTTATTTGTTTTCATAACCATAATTTTCAGCTTATTTTAGTTTATAAATATATTACAAAAAAAGCAAAATGTAACTAACGATATTATAAATGAAGCCAATAAGTATTTAAAAAGCTTTAGGATTAAAAGATCAAGGAGAAGAGTATAAAATAGCATTGGA